TGATACCCCGGGATGAAGTGTGCGATATAAAATTGACTTGGTTCCTGTAATTTTGCGTCACATGGCGATAGCTCAAAAGAGGAAAATTGTGACGTCACTGATTCTTTTCGATCGTGCAAAGTATGGGTCGGGTTCGGTCATGAGAAGCATATATCCACACTCGACGCTGACTTTCTGTGCCGAAAAGACTAACGGCCAAGATGTGCTTCCATCGTAAATTATCTTACAAACAATGCCGAAATACCATTTTCTAAAAATCGACGTTAAATATTTTTGGGTTGTGGAGGAAGAGGCGGCGTTTAAGGCTGTGAAAGAAAGCTTCATGTATCCCCCGAATTTTTTTTTCCCGGATCCACATCAATTTCAAGTCGTCTGTTACGCTTCAGTCTTTGCGGTGTGCTGCACTTTGCTTCAAGAAAATGAATTGGGCAAGAACGCGTGATTGCGTTTAGGTCTCGTCATCTGTAAGCTGCTATGACGATCTACTATGTAGATGACAAGGAGCGACTGGCAATGCAGTATGCCCTCATCAAGCTCAGGGTCACCAGTTTGGCTTGAAGCCGTGAATGACATTTACAGACCAGCTGTCGTCGCGAATAGCGATGTCGTCTCCACATTTCTCATCAAAAATAGCAAGAAGGTTATCTATTTTTGTCGATTATACCCTTAATGTAAGTGTTTATATAATAACAAACACTGTTTAAACTGTGATGGTAGTTAGTATAAGAAAATGTTCTAAGTAAAATCATTAATAAATTTCGAGCCAAACTCGAGTTTACCATGATTTACGACGATTCGACACATGAACATTACGTTGGAAATAGTTCAGTATTTTTGCCTTACGGGATCATATCGATGGCAAATATCAGCGCGCCTGGAACAGTGCATGAATCACAAAAAAAATTGCAAAATATGGCGATGCCTATTTCAAGCTCTCAGATGAAACGTTCGGCGTCCGTGTGATTGAAAATTCGATGAAACGTTCGGCGTCCGTGTGATTGAAAATTCGGCTTTCACTCGACTATGGTACCCATTCCTTATCAAGTCATCTCCGGATTTGCCTCTCACATCTGGTGCTGAGAGAGTTCTAAGGGTCAGCAGGCTGCATCAGTACGATAAGAAGCAGAGAGAAATTGTGAGTTTTTTGTATTTCCAGAATCAAAGACTGATTTTCTGTGGACGAAAAGGGCGATTGAAAAGGTTATTTTGCAAATGGTGGTACTGCTTTTTTAATTTCCGCATCAAATTTGTTAGTTTTAATCAAGTTCTAACGACGTATATACCGCGCTTAAGCATTATAGCGAACCGTCTACCAAGAAATGATTTCTAATGAAAATCTTAAGTAAGTAGTTGTTATCTTTCGAGCCGAGGTCTAGTGCAATCATCATCATCATCTGTGTATGCTCTTCATCCTGATGTAATTTATCTCTCTTGCGCCCTCCGTCTTCTCGTCTGATTCGCTCGTCGTTAAGTTCCTCTTCAGATATAATTCTATAGTCCTCTCGTCTTTGGCGTTCCATTGTGATTTCTTCTTGTAGTAGTAAAAGTTGCATCAGTTTAAAAGCAAATCTTATCGGCAGTCCCCTTCCCGCGCTTTCAAATACGTGGGCGTGACCTTATTGCTGATCCACTTTTTTGTGTCTACATGCGAAGAAGATCCCTGCAGTTGAGTCTTGCCTAAAGCAGACGCGGTCTCAGATAACGGCCCCACTTCTAGTCGAGGAAAATTCATCATTGCCGGAGCAACACCTCTCGATTATCCCTTGCTTCATCGGAAAGACTTTCTTTCTGGCCTTCACATTCACCCACGTTGGCATTATCAGCTATCTTATCCCAAATATGTTTAGCCCGTTTCACATCTAGAGGCAAAAGAGGATCTTCCGTCGGCACCTTGATTCGATAAATCGTACAGACTTCCGCTTTAAGCTTTCAACTGGTCGCCCGAGACCGAGTTATATCAATTACGAAGGATAGCGTACAATATCGTGGCACACAGAGGAGCATATCATTGTGCAAATCAAAAAGCGAGTGCACTTCTTGCTGTGTAAAATCATTTCTTTGACCTGCTTTGCT